TATCGAAGTCTTTTCGACACTAAAAGTAGTTTCGAAAAGAAGCTCTTTGTGACACTGCTTTTGGGCCCAATCTTGTTTCTTATTTACATTAATGACTTGCCAACAGTGGCTATAAATGAGTTGTACTTTAATTTTGCCGATGACACAACTGGACAAGTACAGGACACAAACTTACAGACAGCTCTAGACATGTCAGGCGAGGCACAGTCGAGGGCTGGGCAATGGTTTGCAATTAACAAGCTTTTTTTAAATGAGGCCAAGACTCAGACGTACGTATTTTCACTTGAAAAAATTGCGCCCATGCAGGGACGGATGGGCCAACAGGGATTTTGGGAAGTTTCCCGAAGGGCCGCTTGCTTCCGGGCCGGTCCAACCGGCCCGGAAGCATACAGGGTGTTTCACGGGCGTCGAAACAGAAGCGCTTTAAGGTATTTTAAGGTCGATTCAAAAGAAAACGCTCGGACACGTCATTTTTTTGTTCAAGGGGGAAACTTTTTGATCCCATTTGAGTTTCGCTAGGGTGCACCCCCTGGGTGGGGTGACTTTCACCCCTCTTTTTTGAATAGGGAAGATGGGTCGAGTGGTACCTTGTTTTGAAGGTTCTTGACTCTCGTCGCAACTGCGTATTTTTTTTGTTGAAAATCGAATGATTAGTTCTCAAGATATTCAGTCAAAGTTGCCATTGGATAAATAAGAAACAATTTACTGGTCCTGTTCTTCTCAAATCAACACTTTCCTGACTTAGCTCTCAGACGCGTCAATTTCTATTTTTTGTGTGCTTAAAGTAGTTTTATAATACCCGCCCTAAATCGAGCCACGAAATTTCCTGATCTAAGATTTAAAAAAATACATAGAATATTTTTGAAATACGAGTATTTTATATTTTTATTTCCAAATGCCCCTATTCTATTCTATTCTCTCCTGGGTCTTTCTTGAAACAGGGGAGTAGTATTCTCAGGAGAACGAGTGTTCCTTCTTTGTTACTTTTGTTATCATTTGCATATCATTAAGAAAGACGGAACACTCGTTCTCCTGGGAACGTTTTTTTTTTTTAATTCAATTTCACCCTTTCGAGCCCATACTCTACACTGCAGCCTTTATAGGCTTTTTGTATTTCATTTGTATGGGCTCTACTCCTTCTCATTCATACTTGGAGATCGGAGATTGGCGGCAGCGCGGGCGACCTACCGTCCCGTACTACTGCGGTCACCCATCCAATCTCCATCCCGACACCACGTTGCTTGGCTTGAGTAGGCCGTCTCTCACGTCCTTGATCAAGAACCAACGTGCCGGTTCCTGGGAACGTTGTTCCCCTGTTTCAAGAATAAGGACCCTGAGGTCTGCGGACACCTGCACTGTAGCTCGTGGCTCATTGTGCCCCCCCACCCCAGGTAATTATTCTTAAAACAGGGGAGCGGAGTTATCAGGAGAACCAGTGTTCCTTCTTTGTTACTTATTGTATTATCATTTGCATATCATTGAGAAAGACGGAACGGTCGTTCTTCTGGGAGCGTTGCTCCCCTGTTTCAAGAATAAGAACCCTGAAGTTTGCATGTCAGATCCACTCCCTTAGTAAAACCTAGGATGTCCCTGATATTCGCTTTCACGATTTCCTTTGGTTTCGATTACTGTGTCCCAAAGTGCTGCTGTGTTTGCCATCTAAGGTTAGGACATTGACATCAAGTCTTCTGCTAGCTTCATTGTGTTGAGGTGTTTTCTGAGAGGGTAGTATCCTGTCAACAATCTAACCACATCTCTCAATTGTCTCCTGCTTAAGCTAAGCAGTTCCTGTGTTCTGGTCTTAGATGGTCCTTCCATGAAGAGTTTGGACTGCTTGAGTCAGGAAGTTCCATCCAGAGTTTTTTGTGTTACCCCTATAAAATAATACCAAAAAAAAATGGGACCAGTAGGTTTTTAAACTGCGTGACCTTGAACATAAAAAAATGGCTGCGGCGCGATTCATTCACTACAGCCTCTAAAATAAAATACTGATATGGCAGGCCGGGCCAATGCCAACGGTTTCCCGGGCCGGTTTTATGCTGCCCATCCGCCTCTGCGCCCATGGAAGAAAATTTAAAATTTTTAGGGGTAACCCTTGATCAAAAACTCTTATGGGATGCCCACACGGAAATAACAACAAAAAAATTGAGCAAAAATGTATTTCTTTTGAGAAGCCTATCACTGTGTGTCTCGTTGAGGACTGTAAGACAAGCCTATTTTTCTTTGTTCCACTCCTACTTAAGTTACGCCTTGCTGGTCTGGGGCCATGCCAGTGGAGCTCAAAATGTTTTTGCTATGCAAAGGCGAGCTGTCAGAGTGGTAGCAGGCTTAAGTTACCGGGAGGAGTGCAAACCAGCCTTTATAAAACACAGAATATTGACATTACCATCAGAGTTTATTCTGCAAAATCTGGTTTATGTTAAAAACCATTTTAACTTGTATACCAGCTTTATTGATATCCACAACCATAACACAAGAAATAAAAATAATTTGAGACCTAACTATCATATACCGCGTGTGGCTAAATTCAGCTGGTGTTGGCACCGTGGTGGAATGGTAGAAAAAGCAGTGTTGTTAAATTAAACATGGTTTGACAAGCTGTGGTTTGGCATTGGCATTAGTGAATTTCAATCACCGCATCCGTGGCGGTGAACCATTTTGGTGAATTTAGCAACACGCGGATATTGCAAAGATGTCAAAATGGCCCAGGATACCATGCTGTTAAACTTTTTAATAAACTACCAGAACAGGTAATTAACCTAAGCAACACGTTGTTTAAGAAAAAAGTCAAAGATATGCTATTAGTAAAGCCTTCTACTCCCTGGATGAATATTACAACTCCACACTCAGTTGGTCGAATAACAAGATGTATTCTGAGTGATTACATTTGTTGGGAACTTAAGGAAAGAAATTAAAATAAAAACAATTAATCTATTTATAATCACATCAACTACATGTATTAATTTTATAACTGTGCCAAATTTGTTTATAACTGTTAAACTTTTTAAAACTTATTTGATTGTTTCAAAGTGATGTAATATAGATCTAGATTTAAGTATTTTATTATTTTAAATTTTTTTGTAACATTGATGTACTGATTGATATATATTTTTTTGACTTGTGTAAGCACTATGTTTGTGTAATAGCATCAATAAAGAATTTGAATTTGAATTTGAATTAATGCACCCTGGGGGGAAATTTGAAGTATTCCAATAATTTGTTATTTTTATGTGTTAAAATGCCCGCATTTGGCTGTATGCTGAATTATAGCAGTAGTGTTAGTTGCTCGGCCACCTCAGACTCGGTTCAGGCAAAGGTGGTTTTCAGGGGCTAGGAAAGGCCCCACCTCACGTCTATTGGAATTTTACTTCCGTCACGAGGTTAACCAAGGACCAAGAGACATCAATTAGCGGCTTACCCGAAGGGCATCAGTTCGCAAGTAGGTAGCCAACCGCTTGGAGTGTGCTAGCACAGCGTTCGGGCGACTTCTAGAGAAAGTCTTCAACAATCATGACATCAACGCTAAGACCAAAATTCTCGTCTACAATGCAGTTGTAATACCATCACTTACATTGGCTGCGAAACATGGACCACCTACAGAAGGCACATAAAAAGCCTAGAAAAATATCACCAGCGATGCCTAATAGGATTAAATGGCAAGACCAACGAACGAACATTAGTGTTTTAGAGGAGGCCAAAACAACTAGCATGAAAGCCCTCATCATTATGCATCAACTCGCATGCGTACTGCACGCTCGAAACACGTCTTCCACGATAGATTCTTTACAGTCAACAGAAAGCGGGAAAGCGACATCGAGTAGGTCAGCAAAAACGCTACAAAGATGTTCTTAAGGGAAATATGGCAAAGTGCCGCATCGATACCAGCAATTGGCAGATGACGGCAAATGATAGGCCCTCATGGCATCGAGTAGTCCACGACGGACCACAAGCTTTTGAAGAACAGCAACGCAAACACGAGCCCGAAAAAAAAAGACCGCAGAAAGGAGCAAGCGCACAGAGAAAGAGACAATGCTGCCAGAGGCTAGGTGTACCAACACTGTGGCGCGGCTTCGGAATTGGTTTATATAGCTATCAGAAAGGGCACAATCGACGACATTGAGAATAGAATAAGAGATAATCATTCTAGGTATCGAGTGATCGCCTATGATGATGATATGAAGTAGCCAAAGGGCATCAGTTAGTGGGTAACCGAAGAGGCCTGATAGGGCCGAAAATAAACCCTAACTTCATCACTGGATAAATTTCCACTCGAAAGTGCAGACAAGATTCGATACAAGGAGCACGTGATTTTTGTCCGTTTTTTTGGCTCGGCTGCGTTAAGAGAGAAAAAGCTTTCGAATACTGGGGAGGATTTTTATATTCTCTATTGACGATTCCACTTGTCAAGTATCCAAAAAAAAAGGTTATTCGGGTTTTTAATTCAAGTCGGACAAGAGAACAAGGAACCAAACAGTGCCTCCGGATCGGAACAGTGGAACAGTACCGTACAATTGGTTCTAACGACAGAACGAGGAGCGATGAGTGCGGTACCATTGGCCGTTGTGCAGGAAAGGCGCAGGGTTTGTGATGAGGCAGATGAAAAGGATCAAAATCCCAGTGACATTTAGAATGTTATAATTTAAAAGAAAAGGTTGAGATCACTTCAACTTTCACTAAAGTCTGTTCATTAAGCCTGTAGACTTTTTCGAGTACGTGATTTGATCTGAGATTATGGACGCTGATTGGCCAAAATTAGGGGGTCGACTTGGGCGACCAGCGCTCAATTTAAACGATTAATCAAAAATCTAGACAATCAGCGTCCAAAATCTCAGATCACGAACTCTATAGACTTTATGAACGGACTATACATATACTTTCGCGAGAAGAATTATGAAAAATACAAAAATACAAAAATACAAACCAACTAAGATAATTCATAACATTTATAGTAGTTGAAAGTTCGCTTTAAACGATACAAAAATGTAAAAATTTTTACTTACCTTGAATCCACCTGACTTGAGTTACTGGCCCATAACCTTTTTCGTTTTTGGCTGCGATCCGAAAAATTATTGCGGGTTTAGAGTTCGTGTTTATATGTGCAGCTTGAAGTGACTCATTCATGACGGTGCACTGATTATACGGACCACAATAAACTCGAATAAAGGAAAACTCTGTCATTGGATTTCCTGTGTCCTGAAAACAACAAAATATACCAATAATTAATTTTTCATATTTGAAGTGAAACTCCTTTACGCACGGTGTCGTGAGTTCGTTTCATGCGAGTTGCTATGTAACTAAAACATGCAACGTTAGGCATGCCCTATAACAAAGAATATATACTGCCACGTAGTAGAGTTAGTAGTGGGGATCGCTTAATATATCAACCACGAAATCAGGAAGCAGTATTTGTTAGATATTCAGATAGATTACAATCAAAAATTTTTATTTCATATTTCAGTTATCATAAGGCAATTATTTCATGCTTGTAGAATGACTGGCGAGAACGACCATTGAACCAATTCCTTTACCCCTCTCCTGGTATGTTTGTGTGTTCGAAGAAGTTTCACTTCAGTAGCGTGTTGTGTGATGATCACAAATGTTAATGTACGCGTTGTTTTTTTTTTAGTGATTACTTACGTTTCCTCCAACAGCTAAATAAACAGAATATTCAAGAATTTTCTGAGGGTTAGCACTTGGTGGTTCCCAAGATAAATGTGCCCCATCATTACCTTTTGCGATTTTAATCGCAGAAGGAGCTTCTGGAAAACCTGGCATAAGTGTTTTAAACCCAGTAACCTGCAATACAAATTGTTTACTCTTCCACAAAATAGAGGTTGATCTGCATACCTTACTCCACTCACCCTTGCCAACAGTATTGATTCCTGCAACTCTGAACTTATAGGCTGTACCTGGTTCTAGATTAACTGTGGGATAGTTTGATAGTTCAGGATGATCGTCAACTGTTGAAGAGTCCATATCGGATAAAAGATGATAATTTACCACATCACAAGTTGTGCCTTTGATAAAACCTACTGTGTACCAAGTTCCCTATTGATATATTCATTTATTTCATGTAGAATAGATATTTGTAATTAATAAAATACCTTCGCAGGTTCCTGCGGTTTATCAGGATCAATAAATTCATTCTTCTCACTGCAAGTCTCATTTGACTCTTTGGAGGAATCCAACGCAGCTGAAGCAAAGGCAACGAGTAGATCATCTCCATTGGAACTGGCCCCATTTTGCTCCGTTTCTTCTATTACTTCATCCACTTGCGGAGTTGCGTCTAGCTCATTTTTTACATTTTCAGTCGAATTTGACAAATCATGTTCACCTTCCTCCATGTTGGTTTAAAAAGGTTGTTCTATCTTTATCAAGAAATTTTTTTTCTTAGTAGAATGAAATTAATCGTTCCCTAAATAGTAGAATTAGTCGGTATCAATTTCCATATAAAAATGGGTAATGAGTTACCGAGCATGTTGTCGTTGGTTTTTGATAATATGTATGTAGTTATGTATTACAGCATATTATTATCATAACATTGTAATAACTTCTTCATTATCGTAACTTCGTAAAAAAAAATACAAAAAGACAAATATCTAAAATAGTATAAACTATAAGCTCCAAACTAAGTCATAAAGACAAACACATGCTAGTGTATTACCGCAAAAAAAATATCTGACCTCTTATCATAGTAGGACTTTTCAACCAGGTACCTCTTTAGGTTTTTTGTTTGAGGCACTCTGGTCTATTTCTATCAGATTTGCTGGCAATCGGTTATGAAGCCCATCTTCTTGAGGCAAAAACAAGGACTTTCTAGAACAGGGATGATTTGCGACGAATAATCTATAAATATGTGACTTTTCTAGCCTCGTAGCATAGCATGACCGTGGACAGTGGGAATTGGTCACGGTAACATAAAAAAAAATAATGTCGATGAGAAAAATGGGTCTATGTTCATATTTCGAAAACAGACATTTCGAATCTTTTATTTCGAATGATTTTTTTTTCGAAAACTTTTATTTCCAATTACCTTTTTTTAGAGATTTAATCATTTCGAAAACATACATTTCGAAAACTCTCAATTCGAATTACCTTTTCTTCGAAATTCAATCATTCCGAAAATATTTATTTCGAAAACTCTTATTTCGAATTACTTTCTTTTCGAAATTCAATCATTTCGAGAAGATTTATTTCGAAAACTTTTTTTTCGAATTACTTTTTTTTCGAAATTCAATAGTTTCGAAAACAATAATTTCGATATTAAATAATATCGAAAACATTTATTTCGAAACTCAATAACATCATTCTTCGATACTCTATATTAAAATATATGGTTCTACTACTAGGCTGAAAGAAAGCGCTATGTGTGCACTTCTAACCTAGCGGAGAAACAATTTTGTCACTTGTCATTTATTATTATTATTATTATTATTATTATTATTATTATTTTTGGAAAAAACGTGGTTGGATGTAAAAAATTATTAGCAAAGAATTTTCAGTTAGAAATTAATAAAAAAATATGTAACTTTTGTGGGTCTTTGATTTAATATAATTGCAAAGTTGTGCAATTTTCTACATGGTCCTTCGTTGCCGATATGTACTTGGGAATTGACCCAACCCAAAATTGAAGAAAAATATTTTGTATGGAAAAAGTCAAGGACTGCAAGGAGCCACAGCAATCAAATAAAAAGTGTATTGGATCAACACATTGGATTGGTTTGGTAGTATCCGTACCAAAAGTCGTTTGTTTAGCACCGGCTCTTACTGCTTCCTGCAAAACTTATGGACATTGTTTATGGCAAAGAAGAAAAGTTGATTAAGGTTGTATAAGTGCATTTATTGAACTTGTTAGGGAGTCAAGTAGTAAGTACCTTTCCTTCTTTTAATCCAATTAGTTATTATTCATCCACAGTCTCGTATTTATTTCCTATTTATTATTGCTTTTGTCGCGTTTGTTTAATACATTAAATATATTAAAATGGATTTACTAAAGAGGCAGAGAGGTTCTGTGAAGGCCAGTTTGACAAATTTTATTAAATTCATTGATCAAAATTTTAGAAATAAAACTGATTACCCAGAAAATGTTGTCCTTGAGCTTCAAACTCGAATTGAGACTATTGAAAGTACTTTATTACAAAAAATCTCGGATATTCAAAATCAGATTGAGTCTCAGTGTGATGAAGCTGTCTTGGATGGGGAATATGAGGAAAGGTATGATTTTGAGAAAAGGTATTATGCTAACATTTCTGAAGCAAAAAGCTTTGTTGAAGAAAACAGGTCTTCAAACTCTGCAGGTAATGGCTCTTCGATTCATTCTGTGGCCGGATCTTCGGGCCAGGGAGTAGAGCTCCCCGATAGAACGAATGTTTTGTCCTTGTCAACGTTATCGAAAAGTGAACAAAAATGATAAAGACAAAAAATTTGTTCTCTCGGGAAGCCCTACTCCCTGGCCCGAGGATCGGCCACCTGGTGGTAATAACTCTCCTAATAATTTAATAGATCCTATTAAAAACATTAAGCTTCCCGATATTAATTTGCCAACTTTTGATGGTTCTTTGCAAAACTGGCTTGAGTTTAGGAACGTTTTTGAATCTCTAATCCATCAAAACCAGTCCCTATCAGATATTCAAAGGTTTCATTATTTGAGCGCCTCGGTTAAAAATGAACCATCTCAGTTAATCTCAACAATTGAATTTTCATCAAATAATTATGCTATTGCATGGGATTTGTTAGGAAAACGATATAACAATGATAAAATGTTGATCCATAATCATATAAAAAATATTTTCAATATTGAACCCATGAGCAAAGAGTCATCAAAAGGCATTCGGAGCATTCTCAATGAATTGACAAAAAATATTCGTGCCTTAAGTCAAATAGGTACTCCAGTTGATCAATGGGATGTGCCCTTAGTATATTTAATTGATACAAAGTTGGACAAAGTATCGACCAGAGAGTGGGAATCCTTTAAGTCAAAAGCTAAAAATTTTCCTACATTAGAGGACCTTGAAGTATTTTTGAATTCGAAAGCCGAGCTTCTAGATACTTTGGAGCAGAATCGACCTGATAAGGGTTCTGAAAGGAATCAAAATAGTGGTACTAGAGGTTTAATGGCTATTGAAAATAAGGCCTCAAATGTTTATTCTGAAAATAGGATACCAAATTGTGCATTTTGCAAAGGGGAACATTATATCCAAGCTTGTCCCAGCCTTTTTAAGATCCCTATTGATAAAAGGGGTGAAAGCATTATTGCTTTGCGATTGTGCTTAAATTGTTTTCGTTCGGGGCATTTTAGTAAAGCTTGTCGTCGCCCTACATGCAAAAAATGTCATGGAAAACATCATCTTTTACTTCATCGTGATAAACCTCCTAATATGGAAAATTTAAATGAGAAAGATAGTTCCCCATTAGTTGAAAATAGTGATGTGTCATCTTCATTTGTGAATTCAGATAATGCAAATTGCAATAGGGAACAATCATATTTTTCAAAGTATTTTTTTTCTTATTGCTTATGTTTTCGAATATAAAATGTATATGTTTTTTTTTGTTTTATGTCCTCATTGAAATAAAAAAATTATTTTGAATTTCAAATTATTTTCGTTGGCGCGAAAACGATTAGCTTCAAGATGGTGGCATTTGTGACGTCAACTGTCTGTAAACACAACGTTAAGGTCTGTTCTCACAAGAGCCTTTGATACTTTGCAAACTGTCGGAAAGAATCGCTTAGCTTGAACCTTCGACTGCATTGAAACTTGAAAGCGGTTATTTAGTGCCATATTGTGACGGTATTTCCATATTTAGTGCCATATTGTGACATTTTGTGTTTCAAATAGTTCATCATGGTTGATACAGGATTTACAAAAGTGCAGTCTGACAATCTTCCCTCTATAGACCCGTTTATGGTGGTTCAATATCAGTTGTGGCGTGACGTGAGCTGATCGTGGACCAATCGTTCCACGATTCAAGAGTGAACCACGAAAGTGTGGACCGTGGATTTTCGATCAGTGTAAACTACCCTTAACCTTAAATTACGAACAGTTGACGTCACTGGAAGCGGCCATGTTAAACGTAACTTTTTCGCGCGAAACTTTTCAATTTAAAACTAATAATTGCCATATGACTATAATGTCCATAAATTTAATACAAAACTGCTCATATTCAATATTTTACACAAAAATGTGCACCATAAAAACAAAATAAGCCATATTTATTTCTTATGAAAATTCCCTATTCTGCAAATATTGAAATAAGTGATGTTTTGCTGTCAACAGCTCATATTGATATATTGGATAAATTTAACAATCGACACACTATTCGTGCTATTTTAGATAGTGGCTCACAGTCAAGTTTCATAACGGACAATGCTTGCAATAAGTTTGGGTTAGTTAGAGAAAAAGTGAATATTGGTCTCAATGGCATAAACGGTTCAATTTCTACTATAAATTTCAAATGTAATTCAACTATCTATTCAAAAAATAATAATTTTTTCATTATTTCATGCTTTGTAATTCCGAACATAACTGGAACGCTACCTGTCAATTAATTGAATGTGAGTAATTTGAGGATCCCTTTAAAATGAAAGCTTGCAGATCCTAGTTTTTATGAACCACAAGAGGTCGATATGTTGATTGGGGCAGATCTATTTTGGAACATAGTGCTTCCACATAAAATTATTTTGGGTTCTGATTTACCAATCTTGCAGAGTACTCTATTTGGATGGGTTGTATCAGGTCCATTTGGTATTTATAAAAAAAAGGTCTTGAATTGTAATTTCAGTAATATTGAAGTACAAATTCATGATGATTTGAAAAAGTTTTGGGAATTGGAAAATTGTAGCTCTGATATCAAAGCATTGTCTGAAGAGGAACTTGCATGTGAAAACCATTTTATAGAAAATACCACACGTAATGAGGATGGATCCTTTGTTGTTAGGTTACCCCGAGGGTTACCCCTCAAACTGGAAACTACTAAATTGGTGTGGCTTCACTTCGTTATTTGTACCTGCCGGTAAAAGTGCGAATATAAATTCGCTGAAATAGTGTTATTTAAAAAAGTGATTTTAAGTGTTTTTTTCTTTTATTTAAATATGCCAAAAAGGAAAAGAAATGAAATGTCGAGGGACGACGTTAAAAAAGCAAGGAGAAGGAAGTACGACGAGATTGTAGAGGCTCTCAAACAATTAAAAGCAAGGGTAGATTCAGATGAAAGCTCCAGTGGTTCGGGAGATTCTGATTCTGAGAGCGAATGTAAGTACTCTATATTAAATGTTTGGTGCTGAAAAAATATTGGTTATTATGAACATCCACGTAACCGTTATGTTACGACATTACATATTGATGTAAAACCAAATAAAAAGTAGTCGTGA